AAGGTAATGGCTCACCTACTGGTGAAGAATGCAGGGCCAGTGAAGATGGTGATAAACTCACGGAAACATCAAAGCCAACTAGTTCATCCGGATTTCTTTCCAGATCAGGGCAGACTTATGATGCATCCTTGAGCTCCATAAATGCATTAATTGAAAGTTGTGTGAAATTCTCTGAAGCAAGTCCCTCTGTGTCCCCTGTAGATGATGCTGGCATGAACCTACTTGCCACTGTAGCTGCTGGAGAAATATCTCGGTCAGAAAATGTGACGCCGGCAGTTTCTCCGGGGAGGAAGTCTCCTGCAGTAGATGAATCATGCTCAGGCAACGATAATAAGTTGCAACATTCAGGTGAAGCAGTTGGTTGCACTCCTGAACATTTGAAGGCTACCGAAGATCATGTAAACACCGTTGATCCATTGCAGCTCAAGAATGATGCAAGGCACACTGTAGGATCAAGATCATGTGATCTGTCTGAAGATGGCGAAACTACACAATCTGCTTGCAAAGAGAAAACTGGTGATGGTAAAAGTCAAACGAATTTGTCCCCTGCAGAGTTGTCGCGTAATGTGGAAGGTCCATTCTTAGGGCCTGAAACCAAAGAGGAAGCATCTGAAGCAGTATTGCCTGCTAAAAAGGAGAATGTTGCAGGGCCCGAGGGAGCTAGTTTGCTTCATGAGGAGAGGAAAATGGAACTCATTGGGCTAAGAGCAGCAATAATTCAGACTCTAAAATAAAAACAAGGAGTTCTATTGATGAAGACCGGAAGGTTGATCATGTTAATGAGAGGAAGATGGAGAATGAAGCATCAGTTTCTGAAGGGCCTTCTGCAAGTCTAGAAATAGAGAAGGAAGTGTGTGAAAAATCACCTGAATCATCTACAGGTTTGGTTAATGAGAACCAGATTAGTGGGGAAAAAGTGGCAGGTAGTATCATCTCAATGCAAAAGCCCACTCCTCTGGCGGAAAAACAGCACGAGTTTATTGAGGGCAGAAATGAGAATGTTGTGGTACCACCTTCTGCTCCTAGTTATCCTTTGATGGAATCTAATGTTGTGAGTGCGGCTGACGTGAAACCATGTGAGATGGAACATAGTAAGGAGAGACAAAGGGATCTGGACTCATCAGGGCCTGCTTTCGACAACCAATGTACTGCAGATAATTTGGATAGAAAAGAAGTTCTTGGTTTCGGCACTGATTCATCAGTACAGTCTGAGTCTCCAAAACGTTCTGTACAAGAGAATGAAGTGCTAAAAAAGCCTTCTGGTTTTAATTTGGACAGAGTTATGTCTGATGGTGCGGCTGAACAACATGCCTCTGGTGTTAGTGATTCACCTGCTGCCAGAGAGCCGGATGTAGCAGTGAAGCTAGACTTTGATTTAAATGAGGGATTTCCTGTTGATGACGTGAATCAAGGGGATGTTGTGAGACAGGAAGAACCCATCACATCATCTGCAGTCCATGTTCCATGCCCATTGCCTTTTCCTGTTTCTTCTTCGATGTCTGGGGGTTTCCATGCTTCGATTACTGTGGCTTCTGCTGCCAAGGGGCCTGTTATTCCACCTGAGAACCCATTGCGGAGTAAGGGGGAACTTAGGTGGAAAGGGTCAGCTGCTACCAGTGCATTCCGACCGGCAGAGCCCAGGAAAAACACAGAGCAGCCATTAAATACTAGTGATAATAGTGCTACCAAGCAAGGTCGTGCTCCTTTAGATTTTGATTTGAATGTGCCTGATCAAAGAAGTTTTGAGGATGTTGCTTCCCATGGCTCTTCAGAGACTTGTTTAGAATCCTTGCCTCGTGACCGTGGGACTGGAGGTCTTGATCTTGATTTAAATAGAGTTGATGAGACTCCTGATGCTGGTTGTTTTTCTGTGAGCAAACTGGATATTCCTTCTTTACCAACTAAACCTTCGTTATCTGGTGGTTTATCCAGCGGTGGAAATGTATCAAGAGACTTTGATCTAAATAATGGGCCAGGCCTTGATGAAGTTGGCACTGAAGCCCCAGCACGTAGCCAGCAGATAAAAAGTACCCTACCAATGCCTTCGACTGTTCATGGTGTTAGAACAAATCATGCTGATTTTGGGAATTATTCATCATGGTTTCCTTCAGGCACGTCCTATCCTGCAATCAATGTCCCACCACTTCTGCCTGGTAGAGGAGAGCAGAGCTTTGTTGCTGGTACTGGAGCACAGCGAATCTTGGGTCCTCCAGGTAGCACTTCTTTCGGTCCTGAAATCTATAGGGGGGCAGTTCTTCCATCATCTCCAGCTGTTGCTTATCCTCCCAGTACACCATTTCAGTACCCAGGATTTCCTTTTGAAACAAATTTTCCTTTGTCTTCAACTTCCTTTTCTGGCTGTTCAACACCCTTCATGGATTCCTCAACGGCAGGTGGACTTTGCTTTCCTGCCATGCCGTCACAGCTAGTTGGGCCTGGTGGTGTTGTCTCATCCAATTTTCCCCGTCCTTATGTTATGAGTCTTCCAGGTGGTACAAGTAATGTGATGCCTGAGAGTAGAAAATGGGGAGGTCACAGTCTGGATCTTAATTCAGGCCCTGGTGGTGCGGATACAGAACGGAGAGATGATAGAGTGCCTTCAGGGTTGAGGCAACCTCCTGTCTCAAGTTCCCAAGCTTTGATGGAGGAACAGATGAAGATGTTTCAGGTGGCAGGAGGTGTTTTGAAGAGAAAGGAACCTGACGGTGGTTGGGATGGAGCTGATAGATACAACAGCTATAAACAACCCTCTTGGCAATAGGATCACAATTGTTTGAGGCAAATTTTCAGGAGGTTGTGAGCCCCCTTGTAAGCTCTCTTAATCCTTCTATTGTTTATGAACTCATGGTATTTCATTGTTTCTTGGGGTTTTGCGAAATTTTTTTTTGGGTGGTTTTTCTAAATATTCGAGGTAATAAACATTATTGAGTGATTATCTTATGCGAACTGCTAAGTTCGATGCAAAGTTTTCTTGTTGCTTTATTGGTTTGGCTTATGTTCTAGCCTTCCAATGGCCATTTTCATATGTATGTTAGGAGCATCCCTTGACATTGTCTACTCTGCAATCTGAATTGTCGGTTGAAATATCTGTCTCTGTGGTTCATATATTCTGATTTCTGAAATTAAAAAGTGCCTCTACCTGGCTTTTCTTTTTACTGTTAATGCTTGAGATATGGTCTAATTTGAACTGTTATGGCATCATGCAGCTTTTGTTCATTAGGTCAGAAATATTGAAGACGATACAAGTGTCAAGCCAGCCTCGAATGAGACTGCAGCTGTGCCTTATCATTTCTGACAGACAGGGATCTGGGCCTCTGATGCAGCTGTTTTGAATGACTGTGCATGGAATTGTGATATGCTTCTTGCAGATGAAGTTTTTCCTGTGTAGATATCTAACTTAAACAGCAGATGTGATAATGCCGCCTAGATTCAGATTCAGAGAAGTTGGCATTGAGTGTATGACCGCACTGCAAAAGTACCGGACTCCAATCCGTTCTCCGAGCATTTGGATGGAGAGGATTGGATGTATGAACTGGCTTAGGCTTGGGGCCAGTTTGGGCCTTCTTTCAATTATTTTTTTCAACTTCTTGTTTCATATATAGTTATTGCTGTAGTCTTGACTGCCGAATTTTGTCACTTTATCACATTCTGGGGTATTGATAATGCACAGGTTTAGCCACCATGGTCCATGTGTTACTTTGTATCTTTTGCTTCCTCCTCTCTCCCCTTATCTTCCTCGTAAAAAACTCGAATTACAGCCATAATTGGATCGATGAGTCCAATCCGTTCGAGAATTTAATAAAATAATATTTGCATTTGCAATGTCTACTCTGTACATAAGCCATTTACATAAAAGTGGGAACAGTGCTTCATAAGACTGAGGAGGTAGTTGTGGGAACAGGGGAAGAATTATTTACCACGCTCCTTGAGGCGCAATTCGGCTTTCTTTGCGAATTGAGGCGGAAATGCCATCCTCGATTCTCCCAAAACAAAGTAATGAGAAAGATGACATCTGAATGCTACTGGCCGAGATTATCTGGATTCACCCTGTCAATCTCGTAGGCCCACAATAACCGGGGGGGCCCGAAATACGCGTCTATACCTCTTCATGTCCGGTTTACTTCGCTCTCATGTTTTCTTTCAAGTTCGATGTGTTATTTTTGTCGCACTTTGTTGCTGAATTAAATTAAATTAAAAAGAACAAACACGCGCGCGCGCGCGAAAAATAAAGGTGGAAAGTCAGGACGAGAATGCACTTTGCGTGGCCTGCACGAACTGTTTCAACATGCAGGGATGATGTTTGATTCCCTATCCTTGAAGTTTAAAAATATCAGGTCCATTTTTTTTTAAAAAGAAAATAATTCCTGTATAAGAAATTCGGGTGTGCATGACCTGAAACTAACATGACAAAAACAAATTGAGGACTCCAGACTCCAGACAGATGTGATCCTCATGCTAAAAGACCGTTTGACTTGTTTATTTTTATAAAAACCGCTTTTAAAAAACTAACTTTTTTACTTTTTTTTTATTTGTTTGCTGTGGCAATTAACGAACATTTTAATGGCTGACTGTTTATAATTTGCATAATATAATTACCTTTTATTATAGTTACAAAAAATGACTCGTATTTTTCTTGAATAAATTAAGCCACGTGTAAACTTTTTAATTGGTTATAAGCTAAGCTGAACGCGTTTTATTGAGACTTTTCCATTTCCATGAGAGCTGAGCATAATGTGAATGCTGCTTCAAAGCTGAAATATGGTTTAGAAGTTTAGATTGCGCCGATAATTGAGGCCTTCTCTTCTATATCCGTCAAATGAATTTAATTTCTTTCAAATACTACTATAATTCTATTCTATTACATTCTCAAAAATTAGACTATCAACATGCATAATCCACTCTGTCCTTTAGCCTTCCTCGCAGTTCACACTTATATTATAATTATTCTGTATAAATCCAGTCCCTCCAATTACAGCAAAAGGTATAATAGCTGGTAATTTACTAATTATTAGTTAGTTAATTAAAAAGTCAAATTCTCGCTTTGTTCTCTCTATAATTAATACGGCGGTTTCACAAAACAGAACGCTCTCAATTCTCCCCTCCCTCCTTCCCAGCCATTCTTCTTCTTCTTCTTCTGCCTCCGTGTCTGTCACGAATGCCATGAAATCTTCAGGTGCGATATTTCTGGACAGATTTCTGAGCAACACCAAAAGAGAACGATGCTTCAACATAGGCAGTGCCGTTCCTTTCCTTCTCACTTGTTTCTTCGTCGCCTTCATTTTCAGCTTCTTCCTTCTCTACTCCCCCAATCCCCTCTCTCTCGTCCCTGACCAACCCTTGCACCAACCTCACAAGCAACATCAACGTGCCTCAACTCAACTCGCTTCACCCAAACCACACAAGCGTAACTTCCAAACCAGCCCTCACATTCTCATGCTCCTTCATCATTTTCGTTTTCTCAATTGACGTTGATCAATTTGGTTCCTTTCCCTGTTTTTTGCAGAGCAGAAAACCTGTGACTTGTTTAAGGGAAAGTGGGTTCGAGCTCCCAGAGAGTCATCGTATTACACCAACTGGAGTTGCACCACAATTCCCGATTCCAAGAACTGTTTCAAGCAGGGCAGAGAGGATCGTGATTTTCTGAACTGGAAATGGAAGCCTGATGAGTGTGACTTGCAGAGTTTCAACCCCAAAACCTTCCTCCACATCGTTCGAGGGAAGAAGTTGGCATTCATAGGTGACTCTGTGGCAAGGAACCACATGGATTCCCTCGTTTGTCTCCTCTCACAGGTCAGTCCAATCACTGCCCCAACTAAATTCTCCTATTCTTACGCTGAAAAAGTCATATGTCCAGTCCATACTTTATTTTCACGCGTTGAGATGAATTCGGAATTCCTTCCTTGTTCTCCGAGGGAATTTGATTCTCGCAACCGAAATATGTGGCGGAAAAGTTGAAACTTGAAAGAGAGAGAGGATTTTTTTTTTTTTGGGTTGAAAAAAAGGTTCCGGCTTGAATGTGATTCCCGTGTGCATGCTTATTCCATGATTGATATGGAAAGAACTCAACCAGCTGGCACATCCATTTGGAATTTTGCTCGTCGTTGATTAATTTGCGTAATGTTCAAGGAATGAAACGGAACCGAACAGATTGGAATAGTCGGCCAATCTTGGGGTTTTTTTTTTTTTCATAATCAGATTTTGAGCAAATTCCCTTTTATTGGTTTTAGACTTCGGAAAACTCTAATCTAATCGCCAGACCTGGAGATTGGAATTATCAATCGCGTGTTCCGCAGAGGGCTACGTTGGCACATGTAATCACAGATTTGAAAATAAATGCAGACAAATATCCGCGAGACACCTAGCCTGATGAAATCCCACATTTAATATTCATTATTGGGCAAGTCAAGCGGTATTAAAAACTATTCACTAGGGCTTAACTACTTACAAACTCGACATCAAATCATTAATTACATTAACCTTGATAAAAAAAATAACTGCAGGAGGAAACTCCGGAGGAGATTTACAAGGACTCAGAAGATAGGTTCCGGAAATGGCATTTTCCGAAGAGCGACTTCACGGTGATGAGCCTATGGAGCAGATTCCTAATAGTGGGAGAGGAAAGAATGGTGAACGGAACAGGGACAAACATATTCGACATGCACATAGACAAGGTTGACCCAGATTGGGCCAACGTTGTTCCAGACTTGGACTACGCGATAATATCAGCAGGCCACTGGTTCTTCAGAGCAATGTACCTGCATGAAGCCGACAAAGTCGTAGGCTGCGTTTTCTGCAGGCAACCAAATGTCACAGACTACGACATCGACTTCGCCTTACGAATGGCCTTTCGAGCAACCTTCAACTTCATCAACAACTGCAAGGACTGCAACAAGACATTGATATTTGCCAGAACATTCGCGCCGGCTCACTTTGAGAACGGGGTTTGGAACAACGGGGGCCACTGCAACAGGACAAGCCCAATGGGTGAATCGGAGGTTGATTGGACGCGGTTCGAGCTGAAGCTTAGGGATGTGCAGATGGAGGAGTTTGACAGAGGAACAAGACAAGGAGACGGGAGGTACGAGGTTGTGGATGTGACGAGGGCGATGATGATGAGGCCAGATGGGCATCCCGGGGAGCACTGGGGCAACAAATGGATGAAGGGTTATAATGACTGTACACATTGGTGCATGCCTGGTCCTGTCGATTTCTGGAGCGAGCTTTTGCTTGCTCTTCTTCTCCAGAGACACCCTTCTTCTAACTCTTAAAATTACACATGCATAGATTTATATATTCCATCAAATTTGTACCCCATTTTCTTAATAATAATTTAGATCCTCGTATCGTTATTTGAGCTCTGTAGCTGTTTCTAAATTCCCATGTCATGTCGTTGCATGTAATAACGCCTGCAAGCCCATATATATAGCCCGTTATCTATCGCGAAAGCTCAAGCCGAGCACAGAATCGGATGCAATCTCATTTTTCATTTTGCTGGTGAATAACATTCAAATTCATCGTTATATTCAATTCATGCGTGTACGGATCATCATATGAAAATCGACCACCTGCTTATTTGTTTGCATTTCATATAATATGCATAGTGATAAATTCAATATTTATAAGGCAAAATTAATAATATTTAAAACTTAGATGCAAGTTTGAATAACCCCAAAAATCTGATTCTATGCTTCTTGTCATCGTCATCATTCTGACTATTTCCCTTGCCGTGGCATTACCGTCCCTTTGGCTTAGTATATGAATGGAGCAAAATGCAGAAGCACAATCATAGGCACGACCGCAACTGTGCAGTGAGGCCGCTAGTGGATCTAGTTTAGCTCCTTTGAGTGGTGCGACTGGTTTTCTGATGAACACGAGCACCATAATTCATGAACGATGCTAGTAGAGAGAAATGAATTCAACTATTCAACGAATGCATATGCGCAACACAGCAAACAAAGATTACGCAGATCACGAACAGACAGCCTAAACGCAGCAATCTTTTGGAGGGATTAAATTACCATTTGCGAATGGTTAGGGAATTTAGAAGGTCCCAAATAAAACAGAATTGAAGCCTTGGTCAGAGATTACTCAAGCTCTTATTGTAATGTTCTTTTCTCTGTTTCCCCAATTCCTAGTGTCTGGTAATTTTAAAACAGCAATCAAATCAATAACAAGACATTTAAAGAATTAGCACTCAGATTCAGAATAGCAGCAGTTGTCATGTTGTATAGTAACTCCACCTACCTCACTCCCATTGGTCCAGTCTTCAGTGACATAATTCACAAACATCCACTACAATGGTTTCGCTAATAGAAGAAATATCATTGCCCTGAAGAGTATCTACGCAGAGGACAAGGTATCCTCACTGACCATAACAGAACGAAAACAAAGAAATGAACCATCCAATAACTCTGCATAGCTAGCACGGAGACACTGACCTTGATCCACATCCCGATCATCAGGCCCTGAGAAAGCCTGTGTGCTACAAACCAAGGAAAGGCCACCAAATGTATTCCCGCCAAATGGGCCAAACAGAAACATAAAAAGCAAATCTCCTTAAAATTTTGCCTCTCACCCCTCCCCAATCCTCAGAAGTTTGTAACCAAATATAGAACAAACCAAAACTTCAAAAATGCCTATTACAGATAAGAATGACAGAAGAGCAAAAATGTAGAAGAAGCACAAGTTTCTGGTTTTTTTTTTTTTGGGTCACTTAATGACCATGTCCGAAAAAAGGAGGAAAAAAAAAACACACAAGTAGACTTGCTTTGTCGCGTAATCACTTAAAGGAGCATAGTTGTATGAACTAATTGCCAGTTATCATGCATTGTGACCAGCAAGTTGGAGGCAGCCAGTCTCACATTCATTACACCAACACATTATAGGAAGAATTAAGATTTCCAACACAATCAAGATGAAAAGATGACATAGTAATAACTTTATGAAAACAATAAGCTAAAAAGTAAAAATAAAAGTTGTAGAATGCAACTCTCCACTTGTAATGTTTAATAATTGCAACACTGACTTCATTCAAATTCCATTTCAAGATGTAACCCATTAACACAAGTAGGATACAAGACTAAATTAGAATAATCTACAACCTCATGTTTCTACTGAATTACCAAGCGCAAATGAGAAGAGCTCGCGAGTGGGAGATAACTCCACCAGCCCAATATCCATGGCATACCCAGAAACAGGCAATTTCAAGTCCCGCAAGACACAAACCGCCTCGGCCATCCTAATTTTCGGCACTTCCTGAGCTACCGCGCAATAAGGAATCCAAGAATCTGGGCGATAATCCTCTCCTATCTCGAAACCTTCTTTCTTCATTGCATCGCACAGCTGCGATTGGAACTGAAGCAGCCAGATTGAAGGGGTCGGTGAAAGAAAGAGTACATTATTGTCGTTTGGTAGGCACCCGATTGTAGAGAAAGATAGAGGCAAGGGTTCCTGCTTGGCGGCGAAACTCTTGACAACTGATTCAAGTTTGGCGGAATCAGCAAAAGGGCTGGAAAAGAGAGTGATGTGCGGGCGAGACTCGATTTCGATGAGATGGGTGCTGATTTGTCGCCGAGCCAGCGCATTCCAGGCCTTCAACACCTGGTTTTCTAGCGCAGGATCGAAGTAGAGCTCGATAGCGTAACCTTGTGACATTGAAGGAGCCACAGTAACAATAGAATTTAAGAAGCAAACTCAAAGATTCAAATCAAAGATCTTGGAATACCAGAAGATGGAAATTGAGGGAAATAAATGATGATATCAGAGCAGCTCATAGAAGTAAACGAAGACAAAAAGAAGCCGGATTTCGACCACAGTTCAGATATAATAAAAGAGGGTCACAAGAAAACGGAGTGAAGGAATCTGAAAGTGAGGTGACCAATAATTACGGTGGGAAAGGCGCATATAAAGTAGGGAAGGGTGCGAAGATATGAACGAGAAATCGAAAGAAAATGAAGAATCCCGTGGGCAAAACTCGGTTAGGGTTTCAATCAGTGAGACACAGAAGAAATACCGAGGAGATCACGGAGGCTTGGCAATCAAAACTGGACAGCGAGGAGATCTTGCCGGTCGGAACAGCCGTCCAACGTTGGCGAGTACGACGCAAATTGGATTGGCGCAGCGAGATCTTACCAGCTCCAACTCAAAAGCAATTTCGTTTTCCTTTAACCCGAATCGCGATTCTAGACGCCTCTGGCAGTGTTTCGTTCGAGCGAGGACTGAGGCAGTGTTTGTTTAAGGGTTTTTGGATGAATTTCTCACGTGTCCTTCCTCTGGGTCATCTCAGCTGCTCCCTCCGCCTCGCTTCACAAGTCTCTCGCCCTTCCTTTCGTTAAACCAAAACACCCTTGGATCGGATTCATTTCTTCTCTCCGTTCAACCAAACACAGCCCTACCCTTTTTTTTTTTTTGGGTACCAAGAGGGGCCAAACACCCAAAACAATTAAAGTATTCCTCAAAACAAAACGTGGGCACCCAAGCCCCCCCCCCCAAAAGTACATCTCCATCCAGCCAACTGTGCAGACCCATAGGAGGATCCACCAATCACTGTAAGCCAGAGCCCCTAGATAAGTTCCACTTGGCTAACCAATCTGCACAAAAGTTGCCCTCCGTGAGTGCTTTCTATGCGCATCTCCCACTCCTCACTGATCTATGTCTGAAGCTGTTTTATGAACCTATTCTTTACAGTATTATGAGTGAAAAAATCAGAAAGAATAGACACAGCAAAACTGGAATCAGACTCAATAATAACTCTTCTGAATCCTGTTTGTTGCGGAAGCCAAAAAGCCGACCAAACACCCCACATTTCTGCAGTAACCGCGGTATAGATACCAGTATTATTGACAAAATCTGCAAGCCAATCACACTGTCCATTCCTAATTAAGCCCCCACGTCCAGCCATAGCCGGTAGCCCTATGTTAGGTTTTTTATTGCTATATTGTTATTATTAAAACCTGGAATTCATGGCACAGTAAGTGATACAAAGAGAAGAGACTCTAGCAATTTAACCCTTGTTTCATCAACTTTCATCTGTGCCTGCCGCCTAGGAAGAGATGGAGGGTGATTAAAGATGTAAAAATTAAACATCAAGACCACAAGACATCTTATTCAGCTTCAATTGAGTTCTCCTCTCTAAACCTGTGGTCCAATAAGATTTGCCGGTTCCCACTAATAAGAAATCTAACTTCATCCCTTATGTAAGTATGTGTTTTCTTGCTTCATACAATTTTTTCGGGGGCCATGGTCATATATATTGATATCAGAACAACTGTATTCAAACTAAAACAAAACGATACATATAAAACTGGGCTCTACTGTAAAACATAAGAATTTGTGCAATCAAGTAAAGCCCAGTTTACCAGTGAGAGTTGATCTGATGACATAGGTCAGCATTTTTCAACAGGACAAACTAATATTTGAGTTCTTATTAAAAAAAAAATAATATCTGTGCCTAATAATATCTCGAATGGAGTTGTATTAAATAAGAGGATACCTGTATCTACTGTCTAGCATTAAAAAAAAAAAAACAGAGAGAGAGAGAGCCCAATTTGTGAGCAAACAAGCAAATTAACCCAACATAAATATACAACTAGTTTATCAGAGAGGATTTACTTAGAATTAAATAAACAGACCCGACATAGGGCTTAGCATTCAAAACGGCTTTTACAGTTCACGTAAGCCGAGACAAAACTCTCACTACTTACTCGTATTCCGTAAATCACGTTTGAAAAGCTACTTATAAGTCAATCCAAACAAGCCCATAGAGATTTAAGCAGACCACTGTATATATATTCACTGTATTGAATATTGATCACGATTTTAATATCACGCATCAATTTCGGGGAAGTTTGGTCCAGGCTCCAATTTTATTTTATTTTCAAAGAAAGGCTTTTTCTTTTAAAAAAAAATTCTGTTGAATGCCCCTACGTGGGTCACAAATCACAATTTTCAGAAAAAGTACTCCCTTAAGCACGGTCTCTAAAATAATCTCAAAGGCATCTTTTGCAAATGTTCCCAGAAGCCTCCCCTCCGATCACAACCAGGGATGGGTTGGATTTCTTGCGTCATGAATAAGCTTCCCGACAATGTCTGATTTGCTTCCCTCCTTCCTCCCATCTAAAACATATTTTCCCCATTTCTCATGTAAATGTCAACAAGCTCTTGAACGCGGGATTTTCCTTTTTATTTTTTACACTGGACTTTTGGGATAAAGTTCACTATGAAACACGTGGCCTACATGATACGAAAGCCCCAGGAGGATTCTTGCCGTCTTCGACAAGTTATTCCAAACTTTTCTCTGCGTAAATTGTCGTCACAGGGATGCCATGCGATTCATATAATTTCTATTCAGATTTGCTTTTATTTGCTCTGTTCAAATCATTCATATACCACCTAACCAATAAGATATTTTTCACACTGGTCATTATATTTTAAGCAGGACAAGATATTTACAATTTAAAAGCTGACCCCTTAAAATTCATTGAAAATAGCAGGATGTAGTTGCGCGGAACCTGAGTTATATATTATGTTATTCTTATTTTAATGATCATCTGCGTTTCTTAGTGGCCCCAAAGCATGTCCAACCAGTCGGTAATCTCCTCACCAGCCTTGACTTCTACCGTGTGACTCCTCCTGGCATAGCTTGTGATCCGGGTTAAGTCAGAAAATGGAGACATACATCCTCGAATCTGATATTTTTTATGTTGACGATGATCGACAACCTTAACATAAAAAGCAGCGCGGAGACCTTCGTAAAACCAGCACACACCTCTCTGAGGGTCATCGCCTGTTATCCTCTCTTCACGAAATGGGTGGAAATAGGAAAAAACGGGGACAAAAACCGAAAACCCAAGCCGGCGGAACCACCGCCGAAGACAGACACCTTAACAGCGTTACCCCAACAACAAACGATCTCGTTTCAGCTCCCTCGGCCGTGAATTCTTCCCGCCGTCGCCCGAAGTCGCAACCGCCCGTGACAGGTTCACCGGAGGCGACAAATTCGAGACATGCCGAGCAGAACGGAGGTTGTGCTTCTACGGAATTGGTGGCCGAAGCCTCATTGATGCCTGAGCGGGACGGCGAGGTGAATGCGGTGCCTTCAAGGGACGCTGTCGTGAAGGTTTTTTGTGTGCATACGGAACCGAATTTCTCGTTGCCGTGGCAGAGAAAAAGGCAGTACAGCTCTAGCAGCAGTGGATTCATTATTGCAGGGAGGAGGGTGCTGACCAATGCGCACTCCGTGGAGCACCATACCCAAGTCAAGCTCAAGAAACGGGGGTCCGACACCAAATACTTAGCAACAGTACTGGCCATTGGAACCGAGTGCGATATAGGTAAGTGAACCTTGCTCTTGATTATTATATAATATAATAACTAATTATTGAATTGATTTTAATTAACTATTTTTTATATTTATTAAGTTTTTTCTAAATTATTCTTATAATACTGCCTCAAGTAGAAGAGGGAGAGGAGATATTGAGGAAGATGGTTATATTATTTTAGAAAAAAAATATCATATTTATTATAATTAATTAACTTACTTAATTTTTTAATCTAATTAAATTAGTTAAATAGGTCTTATATTAACGACTAGAAGAGTAGAAAGACAGTCCAACTATTTTATTTACATTTATTTTTATAACTGTAACTATTTATATATATAAATTAATGATAATGATTAAATAAATAATATTCCCATTATGAATATTATATTCATTGAGACTCAAGAAGGTGGTGGTGTTTTTTCCTTGGGGAAAAAAAATCCTTGAAAGTGACCTGGGGGTTGTGGGAGGGCCGGATGGTTTGGTACTATATGTGGAGCGTGCATAATATAAAACTTAAGTTAATTGATTTGGAAAGATTTAAAAAATCAATTAAGTTAGTTATTTGTAATAAATATATGTTTTTTTTAGAATATTTTTGTTCATCATGTATGTTAGCTAAAACTACAATTTGATGGAACTATATGTACAACTACTATAAAGACTATTTTAAAAAAAAATAGATAAATATAAAAAATAAAATGAATTAGAATATTATATTCAGTATGAAATTAAAAATGGGAAAATTACACTCAGGTCCCACAGAGTACAATTAATATAAAAAAGGTCCCACGAAATCGAGAAATGATTCTGAAGTCCCCAGGGACCTGTGTGTAATTAATTCTAATTGTGAAATTACCTACTTACCCCTGTTAATTTTATTGCAACAATTCGTTTACAATCTCAACAGTGGCTGTTAACAACCCGAGAAGACGTGATTGACAACCTCGGCAGTGCTCATGGCAACTCACTCTGTGGAATATCAGGGGCGTTGTTGAGGTTGTTAACCATCTCTTCTCGGGTTGTTAACAGCCACTGTTGATGTTGTAAATAGGTTCTAATTTTATTGCAGCAATTCGTTTACAATCTCAACAGTGGCTGTTAACAACCTGAGAAGACGTGATTGACAACCTCGGCAGTGCTCATGACAACTCACTCTGTGGAATACCAGGGGCGTTGTTGAGGTTGTTAATCACCTCTTCTCGGGTTGTTAACAGCCACTGTTGAGGTTGTAAATAGGTTCAAATTAACAGGGGTAACTACGTAATTTTACAATTAGAATTAATTACACACAAGTCTCTGGGGATTTCAGAATCATTTTGCGATTTCGAGGGACCTTTTTGATATTAATTGTGTTCTGTGGGACCTGAGTGTAATTTTCCCATTAAAAATCAAATTAGCTTTTATATGGGGTCTTTTTCTTCCATTTTCTAGAAAGCCAATCCTATAAATCACCATCTATTTTTGCATCAAAATTCCAAACATGAAGTGGCGACCATCTCTCTTCCCATTTCGCTTCATCCACTTCTCTACATTATCTTTGGCATCTGCAAGATGTTAAGTTCGTTTAGATAAATGCAACAGCGAAAAACAATAATCGTCAAGACTCAAGAAGATATGATATATGAGAGTATCAACAAATACTTATATGTTGTCTATGAATGAGTATATTGGGTCGTAATCCTCCTGTGTATATGTGTTTTGTAAGATGTAAGAAATCGCTTATCATAATAATTTTATGTTCAGCACTGTTGACGGTGAGTGATGATGAGTTCTGGGATGGGGTTTCACCTGTTGAGTTTGGTGATTTGCCTGCACTGCAAGATGCTGTTACTGTTGTGGGCTATCCAATCGGAGGTGACACTATCTCTGTAACCAGCGGTGTTGTCTCACGCATTGAGATCCTCTCTTATGTTCATGGTTCAACTGAACTCCTGGGACTGCAGGTTAGAGTCTGAAAATATATGTTGTCTGATCTCCTGGTTGATAGCTCGTGATTCAGTTCATATACTTGTTCAGATAGATGCTGCAATAAATTCAGGAAATTCCGGCGGACCTGCTTTCGGTGATAAGGGAAAATGCGTGGGGATTGCATTTCAGTCTCTTAGGCATGGAGATGCAGAGAACATAGGATATGTGATACCTACTCCGGTTATCTTACATTTCATCCGAGATTATGAAAAGAATGGAGAATACACAGGTGTGTAAGGGAGATACTATGCAACTGGCTGTCGTCAGTTTGGTAATATGATTCCAGTTTTATCTTTGGGTATTATCCTTCACAGGATTTCCAGTTCTTGGAGTTGAGTGGCAGAAGATGGAAAATCCTGATTTGCGAATGTCAATGGGCATGGGACCGCAGCAAAAAGGTGTGCGTATCAGAAGAATTGAACCCACAGCTCCCGAATCTCAAGTTCTGAAGCCATCTGATGTCATTCTTAGCTTTGATGGGATTAATATTGCCAATGATGGAACAGGTAACTACCGTTCCATGTCTTGAATGGGTTGGCTATCCCATCATGATGAATTATACTAAAATTTTGCGCTTTTCCTGACATGTATATGGGGTTGTACTTTTGTTTGTAAACTGATATCTGGTTTGGGCTATGTTTGTAGTTTCATTCAGGCATGGGGAGCGCATTGGTTTCACTTACCTTGTCTCTCAAAAATACACTGGAGATATAGCTACAGTCAAGGTTCTCCGGGATTCGAAGATACTTGAATTTGACATAAACCTTGCAACTCATAAGCGCCTTGTCCCCGCCCACATCAATGGCAGACTTCCTTCCTATTATATTGTCGCTGGATTTGTTTTTGCTGCCGTTTCCGTCCCCTATCTTCGTTCTGAGGAGGTAGCTTTTATCTTTCATGATTACTTTATTTCGACGACGTTCTTTTACTTTAGTTGCCTCTGAAAACTTCATTTCATTTTTTTGGGACATAGCTATTATTACATTGATCTTTGAGGACCTAGGTGTCATTCTCCCTTTCATTTCTTTGTTTTCAACGTTTTGTGTGGATTAAATTCTTGAGGAACTAGTTTAGATCTAAATTTTCAACCTCACGAGTATGCTTGGATTAAGGAAGGATCGAAAGGGAAGGGAACGGATTGCTGACAGAGCAATTTCATTTGGTTTATATATGAGTCAAACCCTTCTGTTTCCCTTCTCTTCAATCCATACTGCATCGAACAGATCAATGACGTGCGTAACATAGATTAGCAAAATTTGGTGCTTTGGTTCAATTTACGTTTGAACTGGCTTACATTATTCAATGATCATGTGCGTGCAGGTGTATTTGTGTTTCCTAGGTGTGGTTTTTAGAAATACTGAACTTGCATCTTATTGCAAGTGGTATGCTTATATGCAATTAGAAATAGGCCACATGTTTTGCTTTTGTAATTGTAACTAGTTTTCTTATGTAGTCTCTCTCTTTCGAGGGTGGAAAGGATTCTGAAATTGACGCCCCCATCAGTATTCTGGACAAGCTTTTTCACGCGATGGCAGAGTCTGCTGATGAACAGCTAATTGTTGTTTCTCAGGTTTTTCATCCATTTTCCCCCAATAGATGTGCTGTTTCCGTTTTAGTACAAGGCCTCATACTTGAAATTATCTGTGTTAGGTTCTGGTGGCTGACATCAATATTGGATACGAGGACATTGTTAACACTCAGGTAACAAAACTTTTACAGACATCATTCAATGTGATGTAAGTTGGATATTTACCAGGTTTGATATGTGCATGTGTTTAGGTTCTTGCCTTCAATGGTAAGCCTGTGAAGAATCTGAAGAGCTTGGTCTTCATGGTCGAGAGTTGTGATGATGAATACATGAAGTTTGATCTGGAATATCAGCAGGTCACACATTCACGATTGCATATTATGTTTCTGTTCCTTTAAGCTGTGAATTCCCTGAAACATTATTTGAACAGAATTCTTCAGGCTTTTAACGTTATTGAATGAATATCCTGAAGAATTGATTTCTGTTAGTAATGCACGATAATTACCAGAATGGTTTCTCTCACATGGCATGTATACAAATATTTGAAGACTATATATAAGATAGGTTAAAAATAAATTATTACAGGTGTTCCCTCAGAGATAGAGATGGTTATGAAATTTTAGATGACACATAATTCTATTTCCGCAGATAGTAGTGTTGAAGACGAGCACCGCCAAGGCAGCAACTCCAGATATTTTGAAAACACACGGCATACCATCTGCAATGTCTGATGACCTGAGAACTTGAAAGGTTTGGGTGAAGACTGAAGAAGAAGGTGTCAGAAGTTAGAACTGATGATATAAGCAAAAGCCTAAAAGCATAGCTGGGGCGTGTAAATGGGCTAAAGGCTTTATGTCCATCCTTCTCATTTATGCCCCTCACACGGGGATATATTTTTTAACACCCGGATGGGTCATTCACAATCATTCTTATTGGAGACACATATATGAAGTTCTCGCATTGATTTTTCTGTTTTCCTACAGATGTTAAAAAGATAAATAGATTATTCTAATTACACTTATAATAATTTTTACTGCTCAAAATCCGTAAAAATCACCTAATGTTTTCTGTTATTTTTTCAATAGTTATTGAGATTTTCATTGTTTTTTGACATCTATTTACTGTTACTTTTTGTGCGTAGAGCACTAAGGCGTGTCATTCAGTTGATGCTGTCTCGAAAATATATAGTATTAAAAAAATTCTAATAATTTTTAAGGTACTTGTGGAGGGCAAACTTTGTGTTGGCTCAATGAGCTTGGCTGAAACTGATTCCCAACATGATTGTGTGGCTTGTAATCTCGACTGTTCCTTTGAAAACATGCAAGGAAGACAGACAAATAGAAATATGAGGGAACAGGATATAAAGACTGCTGAAATCTCAAAATCTTATGAAGTCCTTGAGACTATTCTAAAAGAAAAATTTTATGTCATGATTAACCGCGTACTTCAATCATTGAAGCTGCAATTGCTAATCACCATCATAGGAGGCTAGAGCTCTGAAGAGAATTTTTGGGCTACGAAATTACCCATTCACTTTAATTATCAAACTTTAGTTGTATGAAATGGGAATATCCTCAGCTTAAAGATTAGTGTTAGAAGATCAGTAGTTGCTTCATTTTATAAAAAGTAAGTATCTCTAGATTCCGTATAATGAGGCCTAGCTACACCCCTAGCTTGAAACGGGTTCCTTTCCACAAATAGTGTCCGTTTGGAGCAGCTTATAAGTAGTTTATAAGTAGTTTTTCAATAATAATTTACAGAATACGAGGTAAATATGTGAGAGGAGTTTTGCTTTAGCTTACGTGAAATGTGCTTATAGGAAATTTCTACCGTGATGCCAAACAAGCACATAAAAGCCTTAAATGTGCAGATAGCCGGGTTTGAACTTGTTGATTTTGTCAATGCCTTTGCACCCTAATCCTAACTTGTAGGGCAGGGATAATTATATATTCTTCTGATTCTTAATATAAAACTTAATTACTGAGTTGGTTTTGATTCTAAATATAAGACCCATTTCTCATATTTATTAATTTTTTCTAAATTACCCCTATGGATACTCCCTCAACCATAATCAAGTAGAAGAGGAAGATGAGGTATTAAGAAAGATGATTATAGTATTTTAAAAAAAAAGTGTCACATTTTTTATAATTAACTAACTTATCTAACTTTTTTAATCTAATTAAATTAGTTAAATAGATCTTATATTAAAAATCGGAAAAGTAGTTACACGAAGCTTGAAGTCGGTTACCTGGAGACTGACATACGAGTTCGAACTCCGTTTCTCGTAAACTTCGCTTACCTGAAAGAATACTTGTTTGACGCATCTATTACCGCATTGCTAGAGGTTGAAGTTTGGCAAGAAATCACTCTAAAGAAGGCAAGGCGAGAAGAAGACACGTGTGAAAAAAATGTTCATATTAATACTGATAGTAATGATGAATATTATTAGTATTGATTTTCTTGGAAAAATTCAGTTTCTTAATTAAAAAAATTGGTATTCAGCTGCTGTCAATCAATTTATTCATGACAACCAGTTACAGCTGTTAGTCAGTTAAAAATCAATCAATATTAATCATCAACATTATTGATGTCCATATCGATTTTTCATCAATATCAATATAAAATAAAAACCCAAACGGTTATTCATAAATTACAAAAAAACTTTGAATACGCTGTACATTCAAAAGTATTTTCAATATGCTGTAAATTCAAATTTTTTTGTTTTTTGTTTAAATTATGGCATAAGATTATGGGACCAACAGGTATGTATGATAAGCACAGGGATTAGCTTGCGCACGTAACGTAGGGAAATTTAATTTTGCAATAACATGGGTAAAAAAAAATTAATTTTGTAAAAATAATTAATACATGATTTTACTCCAACAATTCTATGACACTGTTCTTTTATGTATAATCAAATCTTAAATTTTTAATCTCTATTCACGTGTCATTCCATCTCATCTTCTTTCTAAAGTAACCCGACGTGATGGTTAAAGTCCGAGAGCTTAAAATCTAGATGTAGGGAGTGTTTGGAATTAAGAAAAATATTTTTTTTAAAAGTGTTTTTTTTCATAAATTAAGATAAACTTTTCAATATATTTATTTTATATATAGTAAAATTATTTTTAAAATTATAATTTTGATTCTATCTAAATATCCTGTAGACTGAAAAAGCCGGTTGACTGTTTTAAAGAGAATTGTTTCTATCTATTGAAAAACAACATTATTAAAAAATATAGGGATAATTAATATACAGGTCCTTATAGTTTCAACTGGTTTTAATCAGGTCCCTATAATTTTTTTTCTTTTATCAGATCCTTATACTTTCATATATTTTTAATCAAGTGCTTATAATTTTTTTTCTTTTAATCAGATCCTTATTGTTTTACTTTGTTTTTAATTAGGTCCTTGTAGTTTTTATTCTTTATTTTACAAATAATAACATTTTAAAAATAGTAAATTATTGTAGCAATCTTATGTTAATATTCTTTTAAATTTTTAGTTAAACAAATATATTATTTATTTTCAATTCGAATTTTTATAATTGTAAAATTCAAATTATAATAATAAATTTATCTAAAATTAAAATATGATTATAAATAATTTATATTTAAGTATAATTTATTCTGATTATTTATTAATTACTAAATGATTACATTAATTATTTTGTCCAATTATATAATTATTAATTTAAAAATGAAATTAATTTTAAAGAATAAAGTTAATAAATAATTTTTCAAAAACTACAAAGCACCTAATTAAAAAATAAGTGAAACTATAAGGACCTGATAAAAAGAAAAAAAAAAAAAAGAAGGACCTAATTAAAAACACACGAAAGTAAAAGGATATGATAAAAAGAAAAATTTTATAAGGATCTAATTAAAAATCAAATAAACTATAAGGACTTGGAGATTAATTATCCCAAAAATATATATATATAAGAAACTATTAAAATATCTTGAAAGTGACATACTCATTAAAAGAACAAGACACTGAAGACAGCATTCTCTCTTTTTGTTCGAGAGGAACCTACTTTTCCCCCCGCTCATGAGATTTGTCAAATTGTGAGGTTGACTGGTCGCATAGAATGCACTTTAAAATTTGTAAACACCTTAAAAATATTTATAAATGAGCACTTAATATTTTAATTTTTTTATTTTTATATGTCTTAAAAATTTTATCTCATAATATTTTTATGCTGAACTATTATTTACAGTTAAATTTAATATTTAAAAATACTGATCAAATTATATAATTTAACTATTAAACTTGACTACGAATAACAACTAAGATTTTTTTTGCTACAAAAATAAAAAAGGTATATAAGAGAATTTTTTTTTCCCAAATATTAAATGCTCTTTCATAAATATTTTTGGCTATTTAAACATCTTATTTTTAAATAAGAATAAGTTAACAGACAGGATTTTAAAATAGATGGAGAATGATTTAATAATTAAAAAATAAATGCATTAGTGTGAGACGCCAAGCAATACATGCCAAAAGAAAGAACAAAAATCATGGAAAAAAAAAGGACCAGACCGGCCGATTCCCTGGTTTTCTGGTGAATCGGTGGCTGGTCCGATTTGGTTCAATGAAAAAACTGCCTCCCAACTGAACCGTTTAAAAACCGGTTCAACCAGTCAAAACCGGGCAACCGGTCTAGTTGATGGGTTGCCCGATTTGAAGGTTTTTTTTAATTTTTTTTTAAACCTTCAACTGAGGAAACGACAAGCTCAGCATCAGACAATCAAACCTTCAGGTTTCACTTTGAGCTTCACCGTTTTCTTCCCTCCCCCCAAATCAAAAATCCCTAGCCAAAATCCACCCTTATTGAACCGTCGTTTTCTTCATCGTCGGAGCTCGTTGGCCTTCGCGTGATGTCGTCTTGGTTGAAGTAGCAGGTCATCGTTCTCAATTCTTTAATCGGATTTGCAAGTCACAGCAACAACTCATCTCTTCCCATCGTCATTTCTTCTTCACAGTGGCAGAACCATGGTCGTAGCCCGTAAGATCTTCCTTCTCTTTCTAGTTTCTACTTGTTTTTAGCTTCTGTGTTTTTGTTGTCTAGTTACTAGTTAGTTATTTTCTTTTAGTTCGATATGTTCTGCTTTTTCCTTCCTTGGTTGTGCTTCTGTGTTCTGCCTTCTGCATTTTCGCACGCCTGAGGCTAAAGTGCTGAATTGAAAGTTTGAAACTGAATTTGATTTTTATAAATAATGAATCTGAATTCTGAACACTGAAATAGGTTGATGAATTTGTCAATTTGCTCTTGTTCCAGCTGTGAGACTGATATGAAATCTGAATTCGATCTTTGAGGTTGAAGAAGAGTCAAATAGGTAGCTGAATTTAGAATTGTTTTATTCTAATGATACGAATGCATTTATATATTTTGATTTTGCATAAGGATAAAGATATGTACTTTATTAATGTTTGTTTGCTATGATTAAACATTTAAATTGTATTTGTAACTTCCTATCTTTTTTTTAGTGATTATTATTTATAAATTTTGTTCTATTTTAATGTTGTCAATTAAATTCTATTATTTTTACATGACTGGTCCAACCTTCGGTCTGACCAATAACTCTTGACCTACTATTACGACTGGTTTAGTTCCTGTTCCGGTCTTTTTGTTCCTTGACAAAAATCAAGCCTGATGACTGAGAACCGACGAATTTGACTTGCACGCTCCACCATGGCGGGTGGGACTATTAAATCTGCTGGTGTTTCTTTTTGTCATACTTTTCGTCCCACTTCGGAAACTGGTGCCAGATTCGGACCTCATCGGGTGCATTGGCTATGACCACTGATAGAGACTGCAGAGAGAAAAATTCCTGAGGTCGAGCGACAGAGTCAAGCGAGAGCTCATGACATTTCACTTTCCCCATCTTCTCGAACGCACCTTAGCTATTTAACCAAACTCAAAAGCCTGCCCCTAAGCCTCTGCTGATTGTTCTTCTCGAACCTGGCGCCTCTAGAAAGTTGCGTTTTCATTTTTCAAATTTTAGTTCCATGACGTTTTGACAAAGCGCAGTAGTGGTGAGCTACCCAGAAACAGAGGTAAGTTGATTTCCAGATTTAATGGGAGGATACAATACTTCAGTTTATCTCTCATGATTGCTTAATCACTGATTCTGCCCTTCGAAGCTTTGTGTTCTTTGTTTAAAAACATAAAGGTACTCGAAGTTATAGCGTTATTTCCGCATCTGCTTCTCCCTCACAGGACAGTTATTTTCTGGATTGTGAGAGTAAAAGCTGAGAAATCGACGATTTTGGCTCTGTCTAGTGTCAAAGCGTTATTATGATTGTGTTCTATGATGAATTGTTGAGAGCATGTTTCACGGGTCTCCCTTTATGATCTGCGGGATGTCAGAAAGCATGTATCATAAGTGGTTTTTTAACCATACCCACTTGAAGATATCTTGGATTCATCATCAAATCCAGCAAAAAGATGTTTACTCGAGCTACCCACCTCCTGTTTTGCCTTCATCTTCGCCTCCATATCCTGGTGCTTTCCACAGAGAAACAGGGTCTTCTTCCTCGTCTGGTACTAGAATTAGTCCGGCTGTTCTTTTCATTATAGTGATTCTAGCCGTGCTCTTTTTTATTTCTGGTCTTCTACACCTGCTTGTTAGATTTCTCATAAAGCACCCATCTTCCTCGGCATCTGAGTCTAATAGACACCAGGAAATCTCAACCTCCGATGCTCTTCAAAGACAACTCCAACAGCTCTTCAATCTTCACGACTCTGGTCTGGATCAAGCTTTCATTGACGCACTTCCTGTTTTCCAGTATAAAGAGATAGTTGGTCTGAAAGAACCATTTGACTGTGCTGTGTGCCTGTGTGAGTTTTCAGAGAAGGACAAGCTCAGATTGCTTCCAATGTGCAGTCACGCCTTTCACATCAATTGTATAGACACATGGCTTCTATCCAATTCCACATGTCCACTTTGTAGAGGAACCCTTTTAAATCCTGGGTTTTCAATTGAAAACCCCATGTACGATTTTGACGATCTAAGGGAAGAGGATGGGTGTAACGCTGAAAACGGGTTCACAAGTTTTAGACAAAAAACTGTTGAAATTGAAGAAACCGTAGAGAAAGGAGTGTTGCCTGTAAAACTTGGTAAGTTCAGAAGGCTGAATGTGGAGGCGGGGGAGGGTGGAGGAGAGAGACGAGTAGCAGTAATTTAGATGCAAGAAGATGCTACTCAATGGGATCTTACCAGTATGTGTTAGGCAATTCAGACCTCCGAATTGCCTTGAACCATGACCGTCCAGGCCGCGAGGTAAGGCTTATAGAAGGACAAGAACAATCTGAGAAGCTTTCCATGGAGGAAGCAAAGAAGATTAGAAGTGTGAGTAAAGGTGAGAGCTATTCTGTTTCCAAGATCTGGCAGTGGTCCAAGAAGAGCAAGTTTTCTACTTCGTCCGAAGAAGATCAAATGGGGATGGGCATGCCATCTTCTCTTAATACGGACCTGCCATGGATGAGAAAAACAGAAGGAACATGACAGGTATTCATCCCCATGATTCTCTTACTCATCACGTTTAACCATCTTAATCCGCTGATCAAACATTTTCCTTTTGGGATTCCAGTTTTGAATTTATGATGATTGATTGTGGTATATCTTGGATGCATTGTGATTTTTGAGTTGAGATATTATTACGACCACAGATCTTCCGTGTGAAGATACTAGAGTTTCTTCTTCTTGATATGTAATAGCAAATGTTAGTCTGATCTTGTCGGTTGCCTTCGGTTCTTCAAACAACAGATATTTCTTCTTCTTGATATGTAATAGCAAATGTTAGTCTGATCTTGTCGGTTGCCTTCGGCTCTTCAAACAACAAATACTTGGTGTGGAAAAGTAAAGGCATTTCTTTTCCAGAGCACACATTCTCTGAGCTTCGTCTTCTTCTTCTTAAACTCTTTAATTACTACTGGCAGATTTACGATAGTTGGTTGAATTTGGGTGTGGAGCCTATTTCTTCAGAGCGGGGCTGTGAATGTGATTGTGTGAGTCTCAAGGATATATTGGCGGGAGGCAAGTGCGTTTGCTTTATTAATTTTTCATGGCTTTTGCGGTGCTGGGCTTCTTTGAATCTGCTTTTGCTTTGTTTAAGGCTCTTTTGGGAGAATGTGAATACAACTTTTTTTTTTTTTAAAGCATAGTCTTGAATCGGTGGATCTTGTAGGGTGGACAGTTGTTCACTGGTGGTGGGATCTATGAAAGCTGGGAAGTGACAGAAGCTATCTATCTTTGTGAGATGAGTTTTGATTCAAAAAAATTGGCTCCAGTAGTGATAATGACGTGGGGTCAATTAGTAATCCCTCCCATGTGTTCATGTTGAAATTTAACGCCCGCATTTAATACTTGTCAACGCTCATGATGATGGATTATTAGTCCCGAAAAAGTGGTTAGTTCAAGAATGAGCCCTGTTGAAACTGCAGAGTAAGCGGAATGGATTACAAAAATAGAGAGCATGTCTATGGATATTGTACATTGAATATGCCCAGTTTTAGTGTTGTGGCTGACGGGGGAATTGAGGTGAGATTGATTCGCTTAAGCTGCTTGTAGGAGCAAAGTAAAAAGTGTTTTAGAAGTGTTTTTATAGTTTACAAATAAATATGTATAAGAATTTGTCTCGTTTTAAAAAAAATATTTCTGAGAGATATTTTTTGAAGTTGCCAAACAGCCCGTACTAGTTTATTTCAAAAGAAAAGGGAAATAGTGTGAGTTGTTGTAGTTTAAATTTTGAATTTGATGAATGGGAGGGGTGGTCGGTGTGGCATCATGGGGGTTGCGAGAGGGGACCATATACAAACAATTAGTTACCGTTTTTTGGCCTGGGGAGAGCAACTTCTGTCATGGTCAACTTTTCCAATTGCCATTCGTGCTGAAACTCTCTCTTCAAGGGATGGACAGAATATTTATATATAATGAATTTGAGTGAACTACAAATAAAATGTTATTTATAAATTACAAATAACATTTTATAAATAGAATCGGAGGCAGTACTGTTTATGCTATTATAAATGCTCCCTTTTGCTTATATAACATACTATCTCTAGCCTTAGCTACGTAAAACCGCACGATTAATTTATGAATATTAAAAAAAATTATTTAAAAAAATAAAAATCCTTTTTTATATACACAATCAATGGGAGGGACTTGACCGAAAGAAATTATAATTTAGATCTTATATTTAATATTAATGTAGGTGCTCCTATTATCTTCTAGGATGGGAGAAAGCAATTTCAATTTACCCACTTAAGCACGATAAGAAGAATAGTCAAATAGAAGTTGACTTGTCAAAAGTCTCTTATTAAAAGTAAAAGACCACATTGCTTACTCATGATGCTAATAATTAATTATATAAATAAATCTTCTAAAAATTATCAAATCAGATTCATATTCAAGACACAAAAGCTTGAAAATGATATATGCAGTGAACTAGAAGAGCGTATACATATATGCTAATACCTACGTATATATTTCTTCAAAACATATATACTATCTCTGGTTGAGTAATTTGATAAAATTAAGAAATTTAAAAATTACTTGATTTTAATTTTTTTCAACTAAAAAATTACTTAATTATAATATATGTTATATAATTTTTTGAATTGCTTAGATTATATATCTATTTATAAGTTAAGCAAATTAATTTAAAAATTAAGATATTCTAAATATATATGGGATTCAGAGTTCAGTTGAATAATTTGAAAAAATTAAGAGTACTGGCTGCATTATTATAGCTTCTTGAATTTTACCGGTTATTCCCTTCAATCCACTTTTCCGGATCAGTCATTTGAGCCGAACCTTTATGCGTTGAAACCCCGCATATAAGTTTGATCAGAGATTTACCCAAAAAAAGAAAAAGGAAAAGCAGCAGCAGCTTGATTCGAGCTTGACAATGTCTGACGGCCTATTCATTTCTGTATGATAAAAGTTTTACTTCTGGTAAAAAAAAAAAGATAAAAGTTTTACATTATGTATCAATTTCAAGTTGAATTGATATTTAAAAAAAAAAAAAAGTGAGGCGTTAATACGTATTCGTTAGCCTTTTGATCCTGAGAAAGGGCATTTGCAATCGCACCCCTCGTGTTATATTTTTCGGTTCGTATCCGTTAAGCACTGAAAAGCCAGGATAATTTTGGCATGTTAAATGCTCACATTAAAGCTTGAAGTTCCAGAAAAGTAGTTTATGCGTTTTTTAATATCAGGAAAAAAAAAGTTTATACGTTTTCCTCTTATGTAATAGAAATTAGTTTGTACATTAAAAAAATATAAGAAGCAAGGGAGCATTATTGCCAGCCCAGGGGAGCATCATATCAAACATATTTTAAATCAATTGGAAGATTTCTACTTTTAAGATTTTTTTTTATTTCTTGAGTTGCTTACATTTATGATTGTGATTTATACAACAAAAATTGGGAAGGGGGGGGGGAACTCGTGAAAATAGAAGAGACCACAGGAGCCTGAAGGAACGTAAACACCCTGGATCCACCTCCATTGGCTCCGGTCCGAAAAAAGCTCCAACCTCGGACCCTTCACGCAAGAACTCAATCTCCCAAAATCCAAAACCCTCCTCACGCGAATGCGGGCCCGTCCTTGCCGAGGTCCATCGACGACTTCGCCGACGCTGGGATCGACGCATACCTGGTCGAGAAATTGTTGACGTAGTAATCTTCTTCACCGTCCTGGCCTTCGTCAAAGTTAAGGGCGTAACTAGATGCATCGTACCGGAACGAGCCTTGCTTTGTATATCCACCAGACTTTCCTTTATTGAAGCGGCGGATGAAGGTCTTCCATTTAGGTCCAGCGACGATCTCGACCATTCTCGCATTCTCAGCAATTTCTTCCACCCACGACTCCACCAGTGATCCTTGCTCTCGGGGCTCCGCATCCTCTCCCACCACATGGATCCATGTGCGGACGAAGACAGAGACGAATTGTATCCCAAGCACGGCATCCTGAACAGCAGCCCTCTTTGGCGAACGCCGCATCGTCGCTTCCGGCACCGTCACATTCGACCACGTTGGCTTCGGGTGGCCCCGTAGGCATGGTTGATGAGGATGAAAGCGGTGGGGTTAGGGTGTGGCGTGAATAACGTTATCCTTCCCTCTCGTCGCCGTCGTGGCGTTACAGGCCTACGGGACCGGGTGGGGGAAGCAAGTAGGAGGAGGTGAGGGAGTGGGATTTATATATGTCTAAGGGTAACGGAAAAACACCGTGGAGGGCTGGATGGAAATGGGACCTTAGCTGTTACCTTTACCGGGAAGTGCCCGTTGCCAGATGTCCTACCGTGTTATTTTTTGCAGCCCGGGCACCGGTTCCTCTGATACAGCTCATTTTCCAATTTCTATATATCTGTCAGCCCAAATTTAAGTTTATTTTTCAGCCTTTTTTTTCTTATTTGGGTCTAATTATAGCTCAGGAAGAATGATGAATTTAGATTATGATATTAAGATATTCTCCTATAATAGGTGATATGCTATATCTTTTATTATTATTTTTTGAGCCAACAATAGTTTATAATTTATAATAATAAATGATTGAAATATAGTGAAACTAATTTTGATAATCTTTAAATTTTAAAATAAATATTAAATCGCCGGGTTATTTTTTTAAGGAAATATTCACAAAAAATAATGAAGATGTTTGTTTTCAACTTTCTGTATCATTGCATGAAATTTGTGAAACCAAAATGTATTTTGAGTACGTGTAAAGTAAGGTTGGCCCAACAAAAATACAAAATATCTAAACTAGGTAGATGAATAAAATAATATTATTCTGTATCTATATATAAGACATATTTTGTGGTGCAACATAAACTACATATACAAATTAAAATCTATATTTAGAACTGAGAGTAGTATATTAATTAGATAGTCGAAATGCAATCAAACCACATTGAATACATTGAATCACAGCAGAAGAGTTTGGATGAGTGTAAAAATACTTTTCAGAAATATTTTTCGTAAATCGATATAAATTTTTTCTACATATTTATTTAAAAAACGTTTTTAAACAATAGTTTTGTTTCCATCCGAACATCTCGTAAATAAAATAAGCTGCACAGTAATGAAGTTGGAATGCGATTGACTGAAGTGAACATCAACTCATCCACAAACCGAATGAAATGAACAGTAGTGAAGAGAAGGACTGAGCATGCTCGGCAGATCGAGTTACACCGGGTCGAGTTTTAACCGGGTAAATTGGTTACCAGATCGAATAAGTAGCCGGGTTGTCGATTTTTTCGAGTCAACTCGTCCGACCTAATGTTTGATTTCCGCGCATAAAAGTAGAACTCCTTGCCAAATTGATCCAAGAGGAAAGAAAAAGATTGTGGCCGTTACGTTAGAACATTTTAGGAGACATAGAAGTCTTGTGAACCGTGCCGTCTTTTAATTAATGTACATGTTTCAGTTCTAATTTTATTCAT